CACGCTAGACTAAAAGCGTCAGCACGCTTGGCACGCTTTCCGAAACTCATATATTCGAAGAAATGGATGCCAATCACTGTCTTTTGTGCCACATAACTTGCATTTCCCTTATCCTACGCATTATTCGAGTATTCTCTCGAGTATTCTCACGACTGCAGCAGCAGTATATGAAGAATTCTAACATAGTGGTGCAAAATCGGCAGGTGCTTAGGTTCTTTACAATATGACGCAAAAAATTTCGCCATAATATTTGTTTGCGACTTTTCAGAAACTGGCAAATCGTGACTGGCATCAAGTTTGCTAATCCTAGTCTCAGGGAAATATAATATCTTGTCAAATTTATACAATAAAATGCCATCACTTATAAAGAAAATGGAAAGTGTTCCTAATCTATGCGTGTTGCTAGTAGTAACGATTCCTGCTTCTAAAAGTCCACATAATGTTCATCAAAGGAACTGGGTTTGCATGTAACCCGTTGAGGAATTTGCACCACGCTTCGGTTCCAACCCAGCGCACAGTGGGTACCGGAACACAATAAAACTGAGTTACATGTTTTGTGAATACCGGTATGCTCATGTTTGGGCTCGCGAACCCAATGGGTTTGTTCGCGAATACCGGTTAAGTGGCTTTTCATGGGTTCTGGGACCCACTAGGTAGGCACCGGGTTCTGGAACCCACTAGCTTCGTGAATACCGATCTCGTGGGTTGAGCCTACCCAGTGGGTAGCGAAACCCACTGGGTTATTTGATGAATACGGCCACAGGACACACTTTGTCTTGGACTTGTTCTTGCGTGAGCAGAGGAAGAGCTATGCATTGAGGTGTGCTTATAATTATAGACCTCTCAGCTCTTTTTTGCTTCTTAGCTGCTTCTATTAAAAAGAGTGGTTAACGAGAGTTTGGAAAAAGCTGAGCAAACCTTTATTGGCACCATGGCGTATGGCCCAGGGTTGGCAATAGAGTCCTCATTGAGTGATTTCGCAGCTTTCCAAGCGATGTTCTAGAACGTAATTCAAGAGACTAAAAAAATAACAGTTGATAATGGAACGGCAAAGATGTACCATATATTCAGGCTTGCTCGGATCTTCATACGCTGGTGCAACCGGGGGAGGGTCACTCTGTGATTTACAACCATTTTGGCAGAGTCAACATATGCGAAAACATTTTTGTGTGCTATTGGATTCCTACACTCTCGCCAACTTAGGCACCATCGCCAACTTAGGCACCATCGTTTACTTCAGAACTTTTCAAGTACATATGATATGTTTCTGTCAAAAAAGCTGATCTGCGATCACACACTAAATAAAGAATTCGACCACACCGTGAATTTCGAATATTTGGTGCGACAAAGCTCATAACTCTACTTAGCATGCACTCCAAACATAATCCACTTTCTCTACTTGTTCCACTTCACCATTGGTCATTT